ATATATATATATACACACACATATATACATACACACATACATATGAGAAAAACGATAGCAACGTATAGGAGGGGTTGAAGGTCCAATTTAATATACTGTATATATATATATATATATATATATATATATACACACACACATATATATATACATACACACATACATATGAGAAAAACAATAGCAACTTATAGGAGGGGTTGAAGGTCCAATTTAAAGAAAATAAAAAAAAAAAAAAAAAAAAAAAAAAAAAAAAATATATATATATATATATATATATATATATATATACACACATACATACATACATATATATATATATATATATATATATATATATATATATTATATATTTATTTATTTATTTTTTAATGCCTTGCGGTGCAATGTGCACACTCAAAACGAAACCCCAGGTGCAAAAGAAAAAACTGTGAACACACAAAAAAACGTGCACTGTGTGTACATATGGTCCTCCTTCAAAAAGAAAGGACCCTGAATTTGATCCCCCATGGTGCAAAACTCTGGATGGGAACTGGGGCACTTGTAGTCCACCCAGCTGAAACCAGGCAGACCTGCTGCACCAAGGTCCACCCAAGTAGTTGGTGGGGCTCCCAGGAGGAAGACCCACTTGAGGGGGAGAACTTGACCATAAGGCCATGTACACCCCCCCCCCCCAAGTCTGAGGACCTACCCCCTACTAATTGGGATTCAGCAAAGTGCCATGTGCTATACAAAAAGTAAAAAAGATACAAACATAAAAAAGGGTGGAGGAAAAGGATAAGTGCTTCGTGCCAACTTAAAGTATAACTAAAGGTCAAACTTTATTTTCATTTTGGATGGAGTGGGGAAGGATTACAACATCTGCTGGGTTTATTTTGCTTATTGTGAACCCGTTGGGCAGTTCCCCCCACTCGATTTGTCCTGTTTACCATTATCACTGAGAGTAATAGTGAAAGAAGGGTTGTTACAGAACAGGAAGAGAGGAAAACTCTTCCAATTGAGACACTAGTTCAGCGATTTCCTCACTTTTGAGGGCTTTCCTCGCACTTCCTATTTTGGCTATGGGACAGGATGTGAAGGGAAATCTCCCCAGATTGGACAAAAATGAAAAAAAGAAACCTCTCTTACACCCCAGTCACATCAAACCCAACTTTGAAATCGTATGACTTACAGTGAAGTCGCACGATTTCTAAGTCGGATGACATGCCGATTTCAGGTGCGATTTTCAAGACATCTAACACAGTTGTCTATGCAAATCACACCAAAAGTAGTGCATGTACTACTTTAGAAATCGGTGCAGACCCGACCAAGTCGGAACCGCACCAATGTGACCGCTGTAATTGCGGCCAATAGGGTGCAACTTGGCATGCGATTTGCAAGGCGCATGGCATGCAAATGGCATTCCAATTCGCATCCACTGTGACCGGGGTGTAACTCTATCCAAAATGAAAAAAAAGTTTTGCCTTTAGCTCTACTTTAAATCCTGTTTGGACATAGACTTTAGCTTTAACCTACCAGCCAAAAATACATTTCCCTTTACCTCCCTAAGTACAGGGGATTTCCCTAATGAGTATTACCTGTACCTGCCAGCGACGCTGAGTTTTTCCAGCTGATTGGCTCCATAGCCCTTGGATAATAGATAAAAGGGATTCCTTCCGCCGCTCTTTGGAATATAAATAAGCTCACCAAACTTCGTCATTTACACGGTCTGTTTCCACATCAGTACTGGCGCTTTAGGCAGGATCGGGCATCAGAATTACCTTATACCATTTTCCAAATTGCACTTCTACTGGAGGAAAGTACTTTGTGTAAGTCTGGTCATTAAATCAACTCATTCATCTAGGCGTCCTCCCTCGTATTGATGCCGGTTTAGGCAAGCAGAGAGTTTGTGTGCAAATCAATTTGGATTCTGATTTGAATGCATTTTTTACAGCGTTCTGCAGGTTAAATTTTAGGTGAAAGTGAGTAATCTATGAACGCCTGGGGACAACTTGACACAAGCTTCCAATCTCACCTGAACAAACTTCGGTCTCATAGAGCAATGGTTAATGCACTCGTTCCAACACAGATACAGCGTATTCTCACATATCCCAACATACAGAAACAGAGGTCGGCATTTGGAAGGTCATCAAGTGTACTAAGACAAAAAAGAAACCCTATAACGCCACAATAATACCTATTTCATCATCATGCTTCATGTGATAGGTATTATTTTGGTGGTATAGGGTTCAGGTTTTTTTTGTCATATCTGTGTATACTGTGCCTTCCCTGGTTCCCACTTTAACAACACTTTGAAAACACATCAGATCTCAATGGAGAAAAATCTCCTGCTGGATATCTATACTGATATGGACTGTGTAATGTGTTAGGAACGTAAGAATGTCCTATCTTTTGATAGAAATGAAAATTATCAACCTACAGAGGACTGAATTCAAAGGCACCCCAAAAATCAAAGTGAAAAAATGATGCAGCAGGTTAGTCTATTTTGCTGAAATTTCATTGCAGCAACTCAAAATGGTACTCAGTAGTTTGTATGGCCCCCACGTGCTTGTATGCATGCCTGACAACATCGGGACATGCTCCTAATGAGATGACAGATGGTGTCCTGGGGTATTTCCTCCCAGATCTGGACCAGGGCATCAGAGTGCTCCTGGACAGTCTGAGGTGGCAATGGATGGACCGAAACATGATATCCCAGAGCAGGGGTGGACTGACAACTCATGGGGCCCCCGGGCAATAGGGGATCATGGGGCCCCTGTGTCCTTGCCCAAACTCAAAAAAGCCTTTGAAAAAAGGTACCAGGGGCATCTCTTGGGGCCCCCTACTGACCCCGGGCCCTCGGGCAGTGCCTGAGTTTCCAAATGGTCAGTCCGCCCCTGTCCCAGAGGTGTTCTATTGGATTTAAGTCAGACGAGTGTGGGGGCCATTCAACAATATCAATTCCTTCATCGTCCAGGAACTGCATGCATACTCTCACCACTTGAGACCGGGCATTGTCGTGCATCAGGAGGAAGCCAGGTCCCACTGCACCAGCGTAGGGTCTAACAATGGGTCCAAGGATTTCATCCTGATACCTAATGGCAGTCAGGGTGCCATTGTCTTACCTGTAGAGGTCTGTGCGTCCCTCCGTGGATATGCCTCCCCAGACCATCACTGACCCACCACCAAAACGATCATGATGAAGGATGTTACAGGCAGCATAACGTTCTCCACGGCTTCTCCGGACCCTTTCATATCTGTCACATGTGCCCAGGGTGAACCTGCTTTCATCTGTGAAAAGCACAGGGTGCCAGTGGCAGATCTGCCAATTCTGGTTGTTCAATGGCAAATGCCAATCGAACTCTATGGTGCCAGGCAGTGAGCACAGGGCTTACTAGAGGCCTTTGGGCCATCAGGCCATACTCATGAAGTCTGTTACTGATTGTTTGGTCAGACATTCACACCAGTGGCCTGCTGGAGGTAATTTTGTAGGGCTCTGGCAGTGATCATCATGTTCCTGCTTGCACAAAGGAGCAGATACCGGTCCTGCTGATGAGTTAAGGTCCTTCTGTGGCTCTGTCCAGCTCTCCTAGAGTAACTGACTGTCTCCTGGAATCTCCTCCATGCTCTTGAGACTGTGCTGGGAGACACAGCATACCTTCTGGCATTAGCACCTATTGGATTTGGCTGCCTGTGCAATCTCTGTAGGGTTCAGCTATCGCCTCATGCTACCAGTAGTGACACTGACACTAGCCAAATTCAAAACTAGTGAAAAACAGTCAGAAAGGATGAGTAGGGAAAAGAATGTCAGTGACTTCCACCTGTAAAACCGTTCCTGTTTTGGTGGTCGTCTCATTCTTGCCCATCCAGTGCACCTGTTGTTAATTTCATTAACACCAAAACAGCTGAAACTGATTAACAACCCCCTCTGCTACTTAACTGACCAGATCAATATCCCAGGAGTTTCATTGACTTGATGCTATACTCTGATTAAAAAGTGTTCCTTTAATTTTTTTGAGCAGTGTATATATTTTTTCTTTTTTTTTACCAGAGGCCCTACAAAATAAAATTGTTTCTGTTGCTTTTTTTTATGTCACACGGTATTTGCGCAGTGATTTTTCAACCGCAATTTTTTTTTTAAAAAAATGCACTTTAATGAATTTTAAAAAAACACAATATATAACCCATTTTTTTCTAAAATATAAAAGATGATGTTATGGTGAGTAATTACATACCGAACATGTCATGCTTTAAAATTGCACAATGGGCAATGCTTTAAAATTTTGAATAGGTTACCACTTTAGAGTTACAGAGGAGTCTGGAGCTAGAAATGTTGCTCTTGCTATAACATTCGTGGAGATAACTCACATGTGTGGTGTGAACACCGTTTACATATGAGTGACCAATGTCTGCACTCACTACTGTGCATGAGCACAAGGGGCCAGGGGCGCTTTACATAAAAAAAGTTTTTTTTTTTACACTCTCCCTTTAATTCTTTTTATTCCTATCATAAGAAATGTAAACATCCCTTGTGATAGAAATAAGGCATGACAGGTCTTTATTTATTTAAAAGCAGCACTTTTACATATATATTGTACATTCACATCAGTCCCTAACCCTCAAGAAGTATACAATCTAAGGTCCCTAACTCACATTCATACATACACATACTAGGGCCAATTTTAGACAGGAGCCAATTAACCTACCCATGTGTCTTTGGAGTGTGGGAGTAAACCAGAGTACCCAGAGGAAACCCACACAGGCACAGGGAGAACACACAAACTCCAGGCAGGTGGTGCTGTGGTTGGGATTTGAACTGGTGACCCTAGTACTGCCAGGCAGAGGTGCTAACCACTTAGCCATCTTTAGGGAGAGCTAAAGATCTACAGTATATACAGTCTATGAGACCCCGTATACCTCCTCTACCCTGGAAAACTTTAAAAAAAAACATTAATCTCAGGCTTTCCAGAAAAAAATGGCAGTGTTTATATCTGCCATAACTGGAAGTGACGTCATGGCATCGCTTCCAGCCTCCTATATACATTATATTGCCAAAAATATTGGGACACCCCTCCAAATCTTGGTTTCAGATGTTTCAATCACCTTCATGGCCACAGGTCATTAAAAAATTAAGCACCTAGGCATGCAGGCTGCTTCTACAAGCATTTGTAAAAGAATATTATTATTATCCTACGCTTAGGACTCGGACTATTATTGTGTGTGTAACTCCCTGTAGTGCCTATACCTCAAAATCCAAGGAATAAAACATGTATTGCACTTGCAAACATAAGAAAGGTGAGTGCTGACCTCTGAAGACTCCCACTGGGAGGGGTGAAACGCGTCAGCTGCAGACCGTGGTGACGTCATTTCCGGACAGTGGAGCGCATGCTGGTGTGGTATTCTCTGATTTTTAATGCTTGTTTACATATTATGATTGTAAGTGCAATACATGTTTTGTTCCTTGGATTTTAATAAATGGAATAACACTATATGGCCTTCCTCCACCATTCCTTATGCATGAGTACCCAATTGCCACTGAGGATGGATTGAAATAGGCCAGTGAAGCCGAACAAAGGTGGACTACAAGTCACAGCAGAACCCAACGTCTCCTCCACCAAAGCGAGTCTGACTCTTGTTTGTTCATAAGAGTCCACAGGCGCTGGTGAGTCAGTGGGACCACTGGTGGGGAGCACAGAGTACGAATTGCATGGATAATTGAAGAGCACTTTAATTTTTGGAAGGTATAAAATTCACCAACAAACAAGGCACAAAGGGCTGTTTATGTTTGTATGTCATTATAAGGGGGGCAGTGCTCTTATACTTTTTAATTTTACATTTGTTAAAGAATGGGTCGCTCTCAGTTCAGTAAATGCAAGCGTGGTACTGTGATAGGTTGCAATAAGTCCATCCGTGAAATTTCCTTGCTACTCAATATTCCACGGTCACCTGTTAGGGGTATTATAACACAGTGGAAGCAACTGGGAACAACAGCAACTCAGCCATGAAGTGGTAGACCATGTAAAATGACAGAGCAGGGTCAGAATATGCTGAAGCGTACAGTGACGAATCACGCTTCTCTGTCTGGAAATCTGATGGATGTGTCTGGGTTTGGTGGTTGCTAGAAGAACGGTACTTGCCTGACTGCACTGTGCCAAGTGTAATGTTTGGTGGAGGGGGGATTATGGTGTGGGGTTGTTTTTCAGGGGTTGGGCTTCCAGTGTACGGAACTCTAAAGGCGTCAGCATACCAAGACATTTTTGACAATTTCAAGCTCCCAACTTTGTGGGAACAGTTTGGGGATGGCCCCTTCTTGTTCCAACATGACTGCACACCAGTGCACAAAGCATAGTCTTTAAAGACATGGATGAGCAAGTTTGGGGTGGAGGAACTTGACTGGCCTGCACAGAGTCCTAACCTCAACCCAATAGAACACCTGTGGGATGAACTAGAGCGGAGACTGCGAGTCAGGCCTTCTCGTCCGACATCAGTGCCTGACCTCACAAATGCGCTTTTGGAAGAATGGTTAAACATTCCCATAGACACACTCCTAAACCTTGTGGACAGTCTTCCCAGAAGAGTTGAAGCTGTTGTAGCTGCAAAGGGTGGGCCAACTCAATATTGAACCCTACGGACTAACACTGGATTGCCATTAACCTCCGTAGCGGTATTCCCGAGTGTTGCTCTGGGTAAAATTTCAGTACCAAAAGCGGTAACCCCGAGCTACACTCGGGCTTACCATGCAGCGTTGCATAGGGAGTCCCTGCAGCACTTACCTTGTCCTTCGCTCCCGCGATGCGTCCCCTCCAGTGTCCCCGGCCATCTCCTCCGGCCGATGCCGGCATCCGGCTTCCGTGTTCCGGTCCCTGTGACGTCGGGACGTATGGGCGCCGGAAACGGCGGCAAATTTTAAATTTTTAAAAAAATTTCATTTTTTTAAAAATGATTATTACATAGTAAAACATCGCTGTTTCAAAACATTTCACATACATTTTGTCCTGAGTACTTTGTCCTGTCCCCTGCCTGCATTTTGACTGTTCTTTCTGCCTGGAAACTTAGAAAAGTCCATGGCGTCCAAAAAGCGTCCCTTTATGTCAAAAGCGGTTTTAGACCAGCTAGAGAACAGAGATAGTAAATCAGAACCACTTGCAGAATTGAGTGATAATGATTCGTGGGGAAATTCGTCATGAGAAATTGAAAACGATTCTGCGACTTTGCTCAGCGATGTGCGTACTTGGCGCTATATTTCAAATTTCAGTGTTTTTGGTTTGATCATATTATTTAATTAAATTTATTATATTATTATTTTTTATGATTATTTATTAAATTATAAATTATGATTTTGTGTTTCAAGTTTTACCATATCCGGAATGTTTACTAGACTCTTGTTCGGACAGATTTCAGTGAGTTATTCCTAAATTACAGGCCTACAATAAAAAAAATACATATTTCCATGCAACAAAATGGTACCGCTTTCAGCACCAAAAATCTGAAATAATCATACCGCTAGGGAGGTTAAAGTTTATGTGCTTGTAAAGGCAGGTGTCCCAATACTTTCAAGAATATAGTGTATATGCACTGTAGCACTTTATTCATTTTTTTATGTTTTTGCTATCTATTTATATTGATGGATTTTTTTATTGTTTAATTACAGTGCATCTAGAAAGTATTAACAGCGCTTAACTTTTACCACATTTTGTTATGTTACAGCCTTATTCCAAAATTGATTAAATTCATTTTTTTCCCTCAACATTCTACAAACAATACCCCATAATGTCAACGTGAAAGAGGTTTGTTTTAAAATCTTTGCAATTTAAATAAAAAAACAAAAAAAAACACATGTACATAAGTATTCACAGCCTTTGCCATGACACTCAAAATTGAGCTCTGGTGCATCCTGCTCCCACTGATCATCCTTGAGATGTTTCCACAACTTGATTGGAGTCCACCTGTGGGAAATTCAGTTAATTGGACATGATTAGGAAAGCCATAAACCTGTCTACCTGTCTATATAAGGTCCCACAGTTAACAATGCATGTCAGAGCATAAACCAAGCCATGAAGTCCAAGGAATTGTCTGTAGACCTTTGAGACAGGATTGTATCAAGGAACAGATCTGGTGTATCAAGAAACAGATCTGGGGAAGGGTACAGAAAGATTTCTGCAGCATTGAAGGTCCCAATGAGCACAGTGGCTGAGCACAGTGAGCTCCATCATCCGTAAATGGAAGTTTGGAACCACCAGGAATCTTCCTAGAGTGGGCCGCCCAGCCAAAATGAGCGATCGAGAGAGAAGGGCCTTAGCCAGGGAGGTAACCAAGCACCCGATGGTCACTCTGAAAGAGCTCCAGCATTTCTCTGTGAAGAGAGGAGGACCATCCGGAAGAACAACCATCTCTGCAGCACTCCATCAATCAGGCCTGTATGGTAGAGTGGCCAGACGGAAGCCACTCCTCAGTAAAAGGCAAATGGTAGCCCGCCTGGAGTTTGTCAAAAGGCACCTGAGGGACTCTCAGACCATGAGAAACAAAACTCTCTGGTCTGATGAAACAAAGATTGAACTCTTTGGCCTGAATGCCAAGCATCACGTCTGGAGGAAACCAGGCACCGCTCACCACCTGGCCAATACCATCCCTACAGTGAAGCATGGTGGTGGCAGCAGCATCATGCTGTGGGGATGTTTTTCAGCAGCAGGAATTGGGAGATTTGTCAGAATTGAAGAAAAGATGAGTGCAGCAATGTACAGAGACATTCTTGATGAAAACCTGTTCCAGAGCACTCTGGACATTAGACAGTTCATCTTTCAACAGGACACGACCCTAAGCACACAGCCCACATAACAAAGGAGTGGCTACGGGCCAACTCTGTGAATGTCCTGGAGTAGCTTAGCCAGAGCCCAAACTTGAACCCGATTGAACATCTCTGGGGAGATCTGAAAATGGCTGTGCACCCACGCTCCCCATCCATCCTGATGGAGCTTGAGAGGTACTGCAAAGAAGAATGGGAGAAATTGCCCAAAAATAGGTGTACCAAGCTTGTAGCATCATACTCAAAATGACTCGAGGCTGTAAGGTGCTTCAACAAAGTATTGAGCAAAGGCTGTGAATACTCATGTACATGTGGGGTTTTTTTCATTTTTTATTTTTAATAAATTGCAAAGACTTCAAAATTAACTTATTTCACATTGTCATTATGGGGTATTGTTTGTAGAATGTTGAGGAAAAAAATGAATTTAATCCATTTTGGAATAAGGCTGTAACATAACAAACTGTGGCAAAAGTTAAGCGCTGTGAATACTTTCTGGGATGCACTGTGTATGAATGGTAGCATATACAGTGACCAGTCCTTGAGCTTGTTTTGATGTTTTATTAGAGCATGGTAAAACATGGATAGGGTAAGGGGTGTATGGGATGCCCAAGGGAACTTGAACTGAGGACAAACTTCCTGAAACTATTTACAAGTCTTTGCAGCAAAAATCGTCTTCTGGAGATCCAGCCAGCCTCTCCTAATGTACCACCCCAGATCCTCTTTAATCCAGCAGCTCTGGGTGAATCCCTGGGCAAGGGATCCAGTACCTGCCACTACAGTGTGAACAGTCCTGGATAAAAAGCTAATCTAGTTTCCAACCAGAGTGCTCCTTTCCCCTTACTTGCCCAAAGGCTGCAGGTTTACTCACTTGGTTCCCCTCCTGTGCTGCCAGTGGGTCAGTGGCTGCTACCAGGCCTTCTAGCTGGGCTGCTCCTTCCCTGCCACACAGGTGGTCCTCTTTCAGGGGACTGGCGAAGTCCCATGTTTTCAGCCTTCCAAAGTCCTCTGCCTGCAGGTGAGCCACTCTCCATCTGGGCCTCCTCACAGGCTCCTGCCCCGTCTTTCACATTTCTCTCTCTCTCTCTTACACCCAAACTCTTCTGCTGCTGAGCAGGCTCAATCACTTTTAAGGGTTGTCCTGACCCCTTGCCACACCTCCTGTTGGGGATTGGCCAGGCTCCCTCAAAAGTGTATCAACCACTCCTCGCTTCCACCCACTGCTTCAAAGACCTTTCTACAAAGATCCAGAGCAGGGGAAAATTGCAGAGGGCTGGTCTGCAGCACCTCTCATCTCTGACCATGAGTTGACCCCTGCTACTGATTACTCCCAGGCTGCTAGTCAGGGACCTCCTTCCTGTTGCTAGTGATCCGTCTAGTGACAACTAAATATTTATATAGGAGGAATCAGGACCTCCTTCCTCTTGCTGGAGATACCTTTAGTGATACATAAAGATCTATATAGAGGAATCCAGACCTCCTTCCTCTTGCTAGTGATTCCTCTAGAGATAAAGATCTACAGTATATAGGGGGATCAGTACCTCCTTTCTCCTGTTAGTGATCTCCCTAGTGATGCACCCCAGAAATGTATTGATCATCTGAAATAAACCCCCTAAATCTTTTTTAGTTGTAGTACCCATGACATTTTCCCCTTTAATAGTCTGCATTGGGGTGAACCATGCTCAGTATGCAATATGTGTTGAAATACTAACTTGTAATCTTTAGCTGAAGCCCGTGTGCCAAAGTAACAACTGTAAGACAGGGACAGAGTGTTGTCACTTTATACTAGGGAGTGGCTGGACAAGGACCTTCAAGGATAGGTCAACTGATTCAATCTTGTGAGATGAGATTTTAATGACTGAGTTTACATATACTTTATATTTGCAATTGTGTTAAATCAAACACAACTATGGATGTGCATCTGATAGATGGGACATAAAGGATAGATTTTCATGACTCCGCCCACTGTCCTAAAATTAGGAATAATCCTCTTTTTTATTGGGATATGTGATGCAATGAGATATATGAATACCTTCTTTTCTAAGAAGGCTTTACTGTGCTACACACTGGTTCAGTTGGAGGGCTTTGTGATTTCTTTAGTCCCTTTTCACCATGACCTGGATTGTTATACTGTCTCATCAATGTAAACCAGTACTAAAAAAATACATAGTTTAAGACAAGTTTTCCCTTAGAGTAATAATA